TTTAAGCTTTGGGCTCTCCATTGAAGTGACTCATCGAGCTGCGTGGCTCTGAGCTGCCTCATTTAGCTTCACAGACAAAGAGCGAGCAAACAAAGCAGCAAGGGAAAACCCACAACGACATACTACCACATCAGCTCCTCGCTCTCTTGTGAGCGTGCTTTCTGCTTCCATGGCACACGGTCCTCTGCTCTGGGAAGGGCTGTTTACCTCCTTGGGCAATGGTGGGGGCAATTCACGTTTGCCATTTTGTTTGTTTCAGTATTCAGACAGGTCACAATAGGGGATGGGATCGTGTTGCTGCTGCGAGACAATCGCCTACAAACGTAATCAGCTGGCTCTGTGAGCCGTACTGAGCCTGACTCCTTATCAATGGTCTGACCCGTCTACGTACACCCAGGCATTGTTAAAGGAATTCAGATGGATGTATGACTGGATGGTGGTGTTGGAGGGTGGAGAACCTACACCCCCCTCTTTCTCTCTTTTCCCAGCAGTGTGTTTACACAGCTGTTTGGAGAGGACTGGACCACTGAGATGTCTGGTCTAAAGGTTGCAGACCATTCTTAGTCATGAAGTGACACACCAAATTAACACCCTCATGCTCTGTGAAGCGGCCTGGAGGGACAAACCCACACCAGTGTGTGTGTGTGTGTGTGTGTGTGTGTGTGTGTGTGCGTGCGTGCGTGCGTGCGTGAGTGCGTGTGTGTGTGTGTGTATGTGTGTGTGTGTGTGTGTGTGTGTGTGTGTGTGTGTGTGTGTGAAAGAGAGAAAGAGAGGTAGCATCAGCACACGTGACGGACTGAAGCACACCATGAGTTAACTTTAATATTAAAAAAATCTGTAGATCAGAGTTTGGTTTAAACTGGATGATTGGTTGGTAAAGATCAGAATTTGGGCTAAAGTGGTTGTTTTGTCTGAATTACATTAATCATCCTGTCCACCATAACTGATTTAGTGGGACAAAAACTTTAGGATTTCTGCTGTAATCAGATTACAGGTAACTTAAACGTCCTGTTCAGGCACGAACCAGAATAATACTCCAGGCTAAGGCTTCGCGCTTCCAGATGATACGACTCAGTTAAAGGCAAAAGTGTGTGACAGCTTCACGAGACAGTGTTGTTGGCGAGATGTTCCCAAGTCACAATGGACACACCCTTTTTTGAATAAGTTACACACACTCACACACACTCTCATACACACCTCAAAGCTAGCTTGACATTTAGGAAATATTTGCTTTCATATTATTTTTATTTAGTACTTTATATACGGTGACCTTCTCAGTGTTATCTTTGTAATGTCAGCAGGCAGGTTGTGGTAGAGTTTATGAGTGGCATGTGGCTCATTTGCCAGATGCATGCACGTTTGTATGCAGCAGGACTCTTAGAGTTATTTAATCAAAGTCAGAAGGTCAGATGAGCCAGATGGGGAAACAGGAGTGCAGATGGACCAAAAAATAATTTGAAGTGTTATTTGTCTCAGCACACTTCTCTGGATCATTAAAGCTGTGCTGATTAAACAGGTACAATAATTTATGCCGAATCAGAACAGATGCTGAATCATTCACCATCTGCAAATAAGGCTTTTATGTGATTGGTGCACAAAAAGAGCGTACGGTTATCTGCATCCTAATTCATAAATCTTTCTACCATTTTTGTTGTCAAAGCTATTAAAGCAAAGATTCAAACCCAACAAACATACTTTGAAATGGATTTAATGACCTGTAATAAGCGTTTATGTTCTAGGTCTTTGAAAGAAAAATCATCTCAATGGTAGTCATGGATCAGGACAGAAATGTTCACTGAGGTGGGAGAAATGTTTAAAATCAAACATGCTGGTCAGACAGGATTGCATGGGCTTCTTTTAATAGGCCGATTACTCGAATAGAATAGAATAGAATAGAATAGAACTTTATTGGCCACCATTATGGAAACTTAAACGATTACATTGCAAAGGATCATTATAGCACTAGGGACAAATGTCTTCTCATATTCTACCAACACATTTATTTTCCTGTATTAATTCTTAACATTAAAGGTGTTGAACTCTTGTCTAATCTATACATTTGCAGCGGTCCCTAGTAGGATTTAATGCCTTGTAAGTCGTACTCTGGCGGCAAAAACACCAATGCACTATTTCCAGGAACATAAAGTGACCCACATCACAGCTGAGCTTCAATTGACAGGATTTGGAGTCTTATTTCTTTATATTTGGACATCTCACCTCAGACTGGATAACAGGAACACGACTCGACCTCTGACTTGCAACGTTGATGTTTTATCTCCACAAATAACACAAGCCTGAAGGAGTTCTGCCGTGTGGTGGAGATGCTAACGCTAACGGTTAGCTTCTACTAGCCGAGAGGGTCTCTTCTGTTTCCTGGACACTGAACCAACAACAGCCTTCCACATTGCAAGTCAAGATGTTAAGTGCATGAATGTTGAGTGACAGTGTGACGCAGATCTGCCAGACTTTCCAAATCTAAAGCTTAGTTTATGCTTCTGCGTCTGCATTGGTACAGAGACACGCAAAGCCATTATCACTCCTTGCAAGGGCTCTCCAGGAGAATGCAAGTTTGTGATTGGTTGAACACTACTTTCGTCAACAGCACCGCCATTGTGCCCTCAAAAGCATAAAGAGAGCCAAATATATTGGCAGACGTGGAGCAGTGTGAAGATTACCTCACGGAAAAAACAAACAAAAATAAAAGAATATTTTTACTCACCCGTGACTGGATGAGTGAAAAGACATGCAGCAAGTGTTTTATTTGTGGATAGAAATGACGGGAAATGTAGGTTTAGAGGTGGCGAGCGCATTAAGTGGTGGACGAGAATGAGGGACAAATTTGTCCGTGTCAAAAACTCTCTTAAATTCAAAAATTAAAAAATAAACCACTATATAGACACAATAAGAAAACAGGCTTTACAAACTCTCACCAGAAAATAATACACACCACCTTTCTCTAATGTGATACAGCAGCAGCTCTTGGAGAGAAAACCTGCTGCACGTGCACACACACAAACACACACACACACACACGCACGCACACACGCGTAGACACACACACACACACACACTCACTGAAGTTTGACAACAAGAGTGATGATTTGTGACAGAACTTGAGCAAATGTTTGGAGCCCATCCCTACATGATTAGGGCATGAGGGCTTGGTGACCTTGGTGCAAGTCTAGAATAGAAACACACCTGTGGGTTGTTCATAATGATTTAACCTCCAAAACTTTTCCATTCCTAAAAAATGTCTCAAACTTTGAACAGGCAGTTCTACCTGGTAACTAGTAAAAAACTGATTACACAAGACTTAAAAAATCTCAGGCGATTAGCATTAAGGCAAGAAACTGCATTATAGCAGGCAGTTGGGCCATATAATGTACACTCATGCTACAGCAGGCCATTTGTATTTTTTATCAATCCCATTATCAACAGTTGCAAAGCCTAACAAACACCAAAGTGCGCTAAACTGCTGCTGCAGATGTTTTTTTGTTTGTTTGTTTGTTTGTTTTATTCCGCCCCTTCCGGGCTGAACCTCTGTTTCTGTTCGTTTGCTGAGAGACATGATCTGTTTTAGGGACAATCTTCTGTAGCTCCTCTCACTTCCCTGCCCTTCAAGCCTCCATGCTCCCTGATTTTGGTCCATAGTGTTGACAAGCACTTTTGCCAAATTCACTCAACATCAAGCTGCGACTGTTCAATGATTTAAGAATGATTCACACTATTATTTCTCCCTCAACAGCCCTGTTTGATCATCCAGACCCACTGGTTTCATCCACTGGGTCTGAAAATCAAATCAAATTAAAATGGGATATTTACAGCTTAGTCATGTTTGAAAGTTTTCATCTCCAATGATGTGAAGCCAACAGGCATCAGGTTTGTGGATGTGTTCGTGCTAAACACACCCCAGTCGTTGCTTCTAGAAAAGTTCCTGTCTGACTATAGGGATGCTCAACTTTTTCTACATTTAATCATATCAGATTTCAAAACTGTTGTTTCTGATTATAAGGAAATATTTTCACCAATATCTTTACCATCTTCTTTTTCCTCATGTTTACGATCAGCTAAGGTTCATGAATGTGGTTGTTCCTTTCCAAACTTGAATAAATCCATTATTGTGGGCTTCCTGTTGTGTGTTGTACCGGTTTTACTGTACTCATACTTGATCAAAAATTATCACAATAAAATAAAGCCCAACTTTTTGGTCCAATTCTTTTTAAGCATTTTCAAGATTTTCTACCTTTTCAACGCCTTTAAGCATTGTGAATGAATGATGGATGACCTTTTATATATTATATTTTCAATGGCAAATTTTGTTTTAATGTGTTGTGCTGAATAGAAATTTTGAAAATAATATTGTAAATTTCAGGTGTTTGAAGTATTTCACAAACCGATTACACCTGATAAAGGTTGATTTTTTTTTAACTCGAACTCTAAAGTGACACCTACTGTGTGGAGGTTGAAGTTGAATAGAACAAGATTTTCAGCCGTCAGGATACCAACCTGTGAAACATTTTATGGGTTCAGCTGATGTAGGCTTCATCTAAACTCATTCTGGTTTTAGATAAGTTATGGTCGCTCATTTTCTGAAGGATAATCTTCTGAGCTCAGAAGCAGCCACTTGACTTGCCGAGTCAGTCATTTTCCAGTGCCAGTCTTGCTGTGCCGAGCGGACTGTTTTATTAGCCAGTAGATGTAAACACAAACCCATTGTCGCATCTGTCAAAACACATCTTTGATTTTTTTGTTATTAAAATATAGCTTTTAAAGGAAATAATCTACCTTCACTCTGCACACCTCTTAACATTCAGTGGAAGTATTATTTTTTCAGGAATATGTAGCTTTTTCTTAAATTGTTCCACATGCAGCCTTTAAGACTGTTGGTTTGCTTGTTTGTCATCAGTAAAACTCAAAATCATTCTTTTTAATCCAGGTCGAGGTGTTTTGCTGTTTCAGAACAAATCTAAGGATCTCTTTTTCCCTTGTGTGTCCTTTAGGGGGAGTTGCTGAGCCCCTGTCGCTGTGATGGCTCTGTGCGCTGCACACATCAGCCCTGCCTTATCCGCTGGATTAGTGAGAGAGGCTCCTGGAGCTGTGAGCTCTGCTACTTCAAGTATCAGGTCCTAGCAATCAGCACCAAGAACCCACTGCAGGTAACCTTAAAACACACACATACTTGTATTTATATGCTTGTGTGGACCTCTATTGTGGGGACCAGCACAATGTCCCCAAAATGTGGAAATGTTCACACGTTACAGGTTAAAGTCGAAATTTGTCCACTTAAACATAAAGACAATTCACACACATACACATGGACACACACACACACACCAAATTTCAACGTGTAAGCGGGGCAGGATGGGCGTGGCCAGCAGCAGCTTGTTTTCTCACAACCTTTTTACAAGTCATGTAAATCAGCATAATATTACTGCAAAGGTGTGTTTAAAAGCACCATGCTGGCATGGCGTTGCATGAATTTTGCAGCATTCGTTTTGCCTAACTGTCTTATTAAAGGCAATTGCACCTTGGCGCAACAGAGGGAGGTTTCATGATAACATTGGGAGTTACTGCCAAACTCTGGCCAGCAACTTCATTGAAAATGAAAGTAAACACGGGCTGTACGTTTCACTTTTGTAAACAGAACCAGTTTAGATGTTAAACTGAAGTGATGCAGTGCTCCAGAAGCTGGAGGTCAGATCACCAGAAACTGCTTGTGGACTGTGGGGGTCAGACACCTTTAGGAGTGGCTTGTTAAAAAAAATGTACCCCCTTTATACCGCCATTGCATAATGTCTTGTAAAAAGGACATGTTTGTGCAACATTATCACCACGGTTTGACCACTAACAAATGACCTAAAGCTCCTGATGCAGCCACGGCGTTGCTGGAAATTGACGGCATTGTTTTGTAAAAACGGCTGTAAAGTGACAGAACCCTGAAACGGCTCATTCTGGAAGGTCAAACGGTCAAGAGTAAAACAGCTGGGACTGATTTAAGTGAGAAATATTTAGAACTCCATGAATATGTTTTTTATTGACCACAGAACTATTATAACTTAATAAAAAAATTTAAAAAAATTGGGACCTTGTAAAAATTCTCACAAATGCTGTTCCCCATTCACAGTCCAGTGAAATAATAGTTTTAGCACAACATTGTGTAAAGAAGAGATTACAGTGGGTAAAGAAATGATTCACCCCATTGAAAGGCTTTAATTTTGTTTACTTTTATTCCTAAAATGGAAACAAAAACATATTTTCCCAGCTTCACTTATCCAATGCAACCTATAACAGCCACCTGGAATTTTTGGATTAAAGTTCAGAAAAGAATATTCAACAAAAAACTGAGACTAGTAAAGGAACAACCCCAATGTCAACATTTTGCTGAACCACATTTTGCTTTATTAACAACCTTGAGCCTACTGGGATACTGCTCTATCAACATTGCACGTCTACATTTAGATTAATTGAATATTTGCCCACTTTTCTCTACAGAAATATTCAAATTGGGTCAGTTTGAATGGTAGGTGTTGGTGGACCTCAATTTTAAAATCTCTCCACAGATTTTCACTGGGATTTTGATCTGGGCTCTGATGGGACCACATGAGGATGTTCACTTCTTTCTCCCTCAGCAGGTTTTAATGGTATTTTACACCATCCATCCTTCCTTTTACCCTAACAAAAGCCCCAGTCCCTGAGGCAAAGAAATACCTCCACATGATGCTGCCACCTCTGTGCTTTACTGTAGGGATGGTATGTTGTGGATGGTACGTTTTATTACATTTATGCCAGGTGTACCATTTGGTGTTGAAGCCACATTGTTCCATTTCTGTCTCATCTGGCCATTGGACCTTTTTCCATTTGGCATCAGAATCTTCAAAGTGCATTCAGGCAAAGCTCAGACCAGCTTTATTGTGGCCTTTCATAATCTGAGTTTATGTTTGTTTGTTTGTTTGTTTACCCTTCATGGACTCTGTGATATTTTCCAGGTGGATGTTACAGGTTGCATTGGATGAAGCTGGTTTTTGTTTGTGTTTCCATTTGAGGCAGTAAACAGTAAAATCTTTCAAAGAGGTGATTCTTTCTATAGCATCTGTACACCAGCAGGTGGATCGCTAGAGCTCTAGACTATATACAACAACATTATCCACTGTGGGTGGTTCGATCTCAGTTTTTCTACCACATGTTCAACTGTCCTTGGATACTGAATCCCATGCTGCCCTCATATCTGTGTTTTGGGGTGTGGTAAACCTGAAAAAAACCTCATGCTGTTTCTGACATTCCCAAAGGAATTAGAAGCACAACAAAACATATTTTCTGGTTTTAAAATCATAATTTTTAAAAATCATGGCACATCTAACCATGTGTTACCAAGTAAAACAAAATGCAAAAAATAAATAAATAAATAAATGCCCTGTCTTTGTTTCCCATCAGACCTGCACAACGGGGAATGGTTATGATTACTGCAATGACAAAGATTTCTATCATATATCTATTTTAGCCTGAACTAGGCAGATCACTCTTGCACATCAGGGTGCGATGGTGCATGCATGACTCATGCTGGGTAATGACAATAAACACAATGATAATCGTGTGTGAACATCTAAAAACTCAAGAAAGGCTTCTCTGATCTGCGAACTAATACGATATCACACGAGAAGAGCCACTGCCATTATAAAAGAGAAACACTACATCAGGCCGTCACTCTGAACAAACTACCCACAGGCTGGTGAGAGGACTGTTCGCCATATTGTACTGACAAATTTCCACCTCTGCGTCACTGTCCGTCTGCCCTCTCAGACTCAGCCAACAAATATGTGTGTGTTTGTTTTTTTATTGTTTTCTTTATTAGTTTATCTAAATGTTTAGACATTAAACAAATGATGTCTTTATGATAATTGTTCTTATCCAGAGAGTCAGTTTAGATGTCACAAGGTAAATATTGTTCCTTTTACTACACATATAACAGCTACAGATATTAGTACAACAATAAGGTCTGGAAGCTGTGGCTCTGGACCCACATGAGGCCCTTTAGCCCTATAAGGTGACTCTTAGAGCAAAAATAAGAAGGACTTGACAAATGTTTGTACTTAAGTATATGAAAAAGCAGTTTAAGCATCCTTCATATCCAGACTTACAAAAGTGTGTATAACCATGAATGCAAATATGTAGTTTGCCATCATTTTAGTATCAGAATTAGTAAGTAGTATGTAAATTTTATTATTATAGCACTTATCACAGAAAGAGAATCGCAAAGTGCTTCACGTAGATCAAAAACAAAACAAATTGTTAAGTCATAAAATCCTAATTTTATTTTATTTTTTCTTTATTTAACCAGGAAGGTCCCACTGAGATTAAAAACCTAATTTCTGAGGGAGTCCTGGCCAAGAGGCAGTAAAAGTTACAGTTACAACATTTTTCAGTTACACAGATGTTATGTACAAAATTACAGAGTCAGTTAAAACACGGAAAATCTGTCTCAAGGGCTTTCAGTCTGGTTTTAAGTGTGATCAAGGAGATAAGCTTGGGTAATTTCCAGTTTTCCTGCAGCCTGCTCCATGCAGAAGGAGCAGAGTCAACGAAAGCCCTTTTGTCCAATTCGGTGCGAGCATATGGAACACAAAGTAACAACTGGTCGTTTGCACGCGGACTGTGAGAAGTTACACTTCTCTGTGAGATTAAGTTCCAGATGTAGGTGGGTAGTGGTCCAAGCATGGTCTTACAAATGAAAGTGTACTAATCTCCCAACCTCCTGGTCGACAAAGGCCATCTCACTCGAGAATACAAGTTTTTTATTTTTTATTATGTGATGGCCATCATGAATAAGGTTGAAGCAAAAGGTAAAGAAGGTCACCAATAGATGAGTTAAAATGAGTTTCACTGAAGTCTTTCCGTTGGTTCAGTAAATATTTAGCTAACAATATTTCAGTAGTTTTCGGTTCTTGTTCAAAGAATAGCATTCAACGTGTGTAATATAATCAATTCTTATTAAACAACATGACAGTTTTGCTCAGTAATTTCATTCATCTGATGATTATTTTCAGAGTTTCATTTTAATCTTTCCACTGGATCATGAGAGTTTATACTAACAGAAGAGTTAATACTATGAGGCTATGTGAATACAAAACAAAATTCCTTTAATATATTATTTATATTTTTTCTTTTTCTTTGCTTTATTACTTTATTATCACTAAATGTGATTAGATGTGAGGATTATCTCCTGCCTTACAATCTGTACTCGAACCTTGACTAAATGCACTGACTCTTTTCAACAGTGGCAGGCCATCTCTCTGACGGTAATAGAGAAGGTGCAGATAGCAGCCATCATTCTGGGCTCCCTCTTCCTCATCGCCAGCATTTCCTGGCTCATCTGGTCCTCGCTCAGCCCTTCCGCTAAGTGGCAGCGACAGGACCTGCTCTTCCAAATCTGCTACGGCATGTATGGCTTCATGGACATTGTGTGCATAGGTAAACGAAGGAGTGGTGCAAGACTGACACTTAAATGTGCAAACATGTTATCATGCCACGGTGTTGAAAATAGCTTTCGCAGAAGGCCTTAGAGGCATGGGGAGAAGGTTAAGTGACAGAACAGAACTGCATTATGCAGCAGCATCATAACTCACAGAAGGCCCAGCAACAGTATGCATAAGCAGAAGTTACATTATACAAGGACAAACTAGTTTGTTGAGACAAACATGAACTGAGTTTACATTCTGGTGACTGTTAAGGTAGTGCAGAAGCAACCTGGCAGATGGTGCTAGGGAGGAGATAACAGCTACACGAAAAGCCAAACAAATTCTGATGATATTGCAGAGTACAAGAGAGACAAGAGTTTTTAAGGGGCGACTGGGTCAACTGTTCTTGCGTAATTGTGACTTGCCTGAGTCAGACAACATAGAGAACAGATGGCATGAGATATCTGCACTGTGATTTTTGCCAACTGTCTATTCTCATCCACAGGCGAGATGAAATGTTCCTACCTAAGATAAAGCTAGCAGCTACTGAGTCTATTTAGCATAATATCTGATGTAAACAGTGATAATTCATCAGCTCTCATGCATTGTCCTTCATTCTGTCTTGTGTATTTCCATCCAGGCCTTATCATCCATGAGGGATCATCAGTGTATCGAATCTTTAAACGATGGCAGGCCGTCAATCAGCAGTGGAAGGTACTGAACTATGAGAAATCTAAAGACTTGGGAGACCCAGTGAGCTCAAACCGTAAGAACAGCTCACGCAGTTCTCGCAGCAACCCTCACGGTCTGACCAGCAGCAGCAGTGGGCGACAGAACAGGAGGCTAAGAACTATTCTGAACCACCACTGTGGCTACACCATCTTGCACATCCTGAGTCAACTGAGGCCCAACGACCCACGGATCAGCAGCGCCGCCAATCGAGAGGTGGTAATGAGGGTCACCACTGTATGAGATGGACTAGGTGACTGTGCTCGAAGTTGTCTCAGATGTAAAGCAGACTGATGGACCCAAAAGTGAAAACCTGAGACTGGATTTGACAGCAGGAGTCCTGTTGGAGCTGAGTGGAGCTCCAGATCATCTCAATAATGAACTCCTTTTCTTACAACAAAAAGAAAACAGACGCTCCTTTTCAATAAGTAAATAACTGATGAAAATAGGGACAAACAAGTATTAAAAGACATTAAACCTGAACTGTAAGTTGGGGTGGGGGGTATAAACAGGCTTTGTAACCTGAAACAAAGTGACATGATGTTTTTTCCAGTTCAATATCAGAATGCATAAGCAGTTTGTCTTTGTTTAGAATCCTCCTGGTTTGATTGCAATCACATTTTCCTGGTTTTATTTTCTTGTTCAGTTTAATTTCTTACTCGCTTTGATTTAATAAGGATGATTATAGAGGATTCCTCATACGGTGACTTCATACATGCCAAACTGTGTGTGATGATTTGAAAAATCTCTACAAAGTAAACAGACCAAAAACGGAGACTAAACAGATGTGTGAAATACGGAGTTTTAAAAATAACAATAAATCATATGTTTGAAAAAAAGGAAGAAACAATATTTTAAAGTTACATTTAGTTACATTTTACCTCTCTGCAATAAAGATACATATGTACATTTCACAAGGAATTTTGCATGGGTATATAATTTTATTCTTCATCACATAACAAAAGTACATGACAGATTTGCTCAGTTTCAAATGGTGCTTGCCAAAATAAACACTTTAAAGAGATCTTTTCATTGTACCAACTTTTTGTCAACATGACAAATGACTGTGTGTTACAGCTATTTCAGCTAAAATACAGATTGTTGCTGCTGTGTGCTGATACCGATTTGATAAATTAAACATTGGATTAAAAACTGGGATCAGATGATCTCCAATCTCTGTCTCCCTTCAGTGTCTTCTTTAACCAACTGTTGTGGTGTTTAGTTAAAGGTCTCGTTCCATGGTATGAAACTGTGCAGAGGGGAAAATAACATCAAAGACAAGAGGTGTGTTAGATCAGCAAGTGTATCATTACATTTATGTTTTTATCTGTATGTATTAAAGTGATTCTTTACTCATATTTTTATACCATTTGCAATGGTCTCTAGGAATGAATGCCTGGTAAGTCGTTCTCTGTGGGAAAAAGCTCCGGTGCACCCGTTTCAGCAGGGAGAATTCAGCCAGAGGAGATAGTAGTTTTAAATGGCTGGATTTGGAGTATTTCCTGATTTTGGACATCTCACCTCTGATTGGATAACAACAATGCAACTCTACCACTGACTCTGTTTGCTTTGCAGTGATGTTTTATCTCCACAAATAACACAAGCCTGGAGGTGTACTGTCATGTAGTGGAGGTGCTAATGCCAACGGTTAGCTTCTGCTAGCTGAGACGTTCTCTGCTGTTTCCTGGACGCTAAACCAACAACAGCCTTCCTTGTCATGAGTTAAGATGGGAGAGTCAATGAATGTTGTGACAGTGTGATGTCGATCTGTCAAGCTTTTTAAATCGTAGCGTTTCACCATCTATTTTCATCCATCCATCCATTCATTTTCGGCCGCTTATCCAGGGTCAGGTCCCGGGGACAGTAGCCTAAGCAGGGATGCCCAGAAACACTCTGCTGCAAACCGCTCCAGTAAGTGCAGAGATCATGTTCTGATGTAGCCAACAGGACCACATCCTCTGCAAAAAGCAAAGACCTGATCCTCAGGCCACCAAAACAGATGCTCTCAACACCTTGGCTGCACCTAGAAATCATGTCCATAAAAGTGATGAATGGAATTGATGACAAAGGGTAGCCTTGGCGGAGTCCAACTCTCACTGGAAACAAACTCGACTTACTGCCGGCAATGCAGACCAAGCTCTGACACCGGTCATACAGGGACCTAACAGTCCGTATCAGAGGGCCTGGTACCCCAAACTCCCAGAGTACCCCCCAAAGGGCCTCCCAAGGGACCCAGTCAAACACCTTCTCCAAATCCACAACACACATGTAGAACGGTTGTGCGAAATCCCAAACAACCTCCAGGACCCCCCTAAGGGTATAGAGCTGGTCCAGTGGTCCTCGGTCAGGACAAAAACCATATTGCTCCTCCTGATTCCGAGGTTCAACAATTGGATTCAATTGCTCTCCAGAACCTCTGCATAGACCTTACTAGTGAGGCTCAGTACTGTGATCCCCCTGTAGTTGGAACACATCTTTTTAAATGTTACTGCCCTCTATGTTCACGCAATATTGCAGAGTTGTGTCAGCCAACACAACCATACAACATCCAGAGCCTTAAGAAACTCTGGGCGGATCTCATTCACCCCCAGAGCCTTGCCACTGAGGAGCTTTTTGACCACCTCAGTGACCACAAAACCAGAGATTGGAGAGCCCATCCCAAAGTCTCCGAACTCTGCTTCTTCACTGGAAGACGTGTCGGTGGGATTGAGGAGGTCTTCGAAGTATTCTTCCCACAGATCCACAACGTCCCGATTACACCATCCCAACTATAAACAGTGTTGGTAGTACACTGCTTTCCCCTCCTAAGGCACCAGATGGTGGACCAGAATCTCATCGAAGCCAAACAGTAGTCTTGCTCCAAGGTCTCACTAAACTCCTCTCATGCCCAGGTTTTTGCCTCTCCAACCACCCAGACTGCAATCCGCTTGGCCTGCCGGTGCCCATTAGCTGCCTCCGGAGTTCCACAGGACAAAATACCTAATAGGACTCTTTCTTCAGCTTGATGGCATCCCTACCCGTTGGTGTCCACTAGTGGGTTTGAGGATTGCCACCACGACAGGTACTGATGACCCTATGGCCACAGCTCCAATCAGCCATCTCTACAATGGAAGCACGGAACATTGCCCACTCAGACACAATGTCCCCCGCCTCCTCTTCTGTCGGAGGTGGGAATAAAAATTGCTTCTGACAAAATACTCCAGCAGACCCTCACAATACTTTTAGGCCTGCCAGGTCTGACCGGCATCCTCCCCCACCATTGTCTATTTTCAATCAGAAACTAACGCAGGGGATACAATTTTCCCGTTCCGCCTGCATGTTAAACTCAGAGTGGCAAATTGCTTTCAAAAATACCAAGTAAAAATGGTTCTCTGTGAAGGACCTCTTTAATACCAGACTTTAATTTGGTCATTTTGAGGCGCAACTCAAAGATGATGTTTGTCTTGTTGTTCATTGATACATGTTTGTTTCTTTTGATCATCCATCCATCTATTCTCTTCCACTTATCCAGGGTTGGGACATGGGGGCAGTAGCCTAAGCAGAGGGTCCCAGGCTTCCCTCTCCCCAGCCACTTGGGCCAGCTCGTCAGGGGAAGTCCCAAGGCGTTCCCTGGCCAGCTGAGAAACATAGTGTTGTGGTCTACACTTCATGATTGTTTTTTACTGTGTGTTTCTTCTCTGTGCAGGTTGGCTGTGGCTCTTCCTGCAATTCCTACCCCTCTGTGGAGCACTGGGGAGTGCCACAGCTGACTGCAATATCCTGTCTGCCACACCTTGTAGTTAAGCAGCTGTTCCCAGTGTGGCATTGCTTGTAGCGCTGCTTTGAGTCTGTGGATTGCCATTTGTAGTCTTGTTTCAAGTAAAACCTGTTAAGCCTTATTTCCCACTTATGTGGTGATTTTTTGTTATTAAAAGAACTCAGAACTGGATCAAGTCATCCTGCCTCCTGCATTTGGGTGTATTTCTGTGCACCCTCATGTGACACATAATCCCTCCAGTATATCATGGGTCTTCATCTAGGTCTCCTCCCAGTTGGACGTGCTCGAAAAACCTCACCAGGGAAGTGTCCAGGAGGCATCCTGACCAAACGACCTCAACTGGCTCCTATCAATGTGGAGAAGCCGTGGGACTACTTCGAACCCCTCCCGGATGACAGTTTCTCACCCATCTCCCACATCCTCCCACATCTCTGAGGGAGAGCCCAAACACCCTGCACCCCTTTTATTCGCAATTTTGTTTTGTCTGTCACTAACCAAAGCTCGTGACCATTGGTGAGGGTTGCAACACTGATCGACCAGTAAATCAAGAGCTTTGTCTTCCAGCTCAGCTCCTTCTTCACCACGACAGACCAGTACAATGCCTGCGTCACTGCAGAAACAGCACCAATCTGCCTATCCATCTCACGCTCCATTTTCCCCTCACCCATGAACAAGACCTCGAGACACTTAAACCCCTCCACTGGAGGCAGGACCTTGCCCCTGACCTGGAGAAGGCATTCTACCCTTTTCTGAATCAAGACCATGGTCTCGGATTTAGAGGAACTGATTCTCATCCCAGCTGTGAACAGCTCCAGTGAAAGCTGAAGATCATGGTTTGATTAAGCCAACAGGACCACATAATCTGCAAGAAGCAGAGACCTGATTGTAGCTGCTCTTGACAGTTCATAATAAATGAAGAGAATCTTGAAGGGTGCCAACCTTTTATTTGCCCTGTAAGTCCCAAAAGAACATGCAGGCTTTGTAAACACCCTGAAAACTATAAAAGGTACACTAAAACAATACAGCACATGATTAGTGATTCTAGCATCTATATGAAAAAAAAACATCTAAACAATTTTTTTTAAATCATACTTCACTTTCCTTGTCAAGGGTGATAATTTATGATGGTGAGCTGTTGAGAAACTTCAAGAAACTTTTTATGTGCACTGCTGACCTAAGTCGTGAATGATCATTATTTACATTATTTCATTTGGCATTACTCAAACAGAATTTAGAAGTGCAACTTAATATTTGTTACATATTTACAGAGCCTCACAGCTTCACTGCGTTCCATCCATAGCAAACAAAGGAAGAAGGCAATGCTCACCTACCATAGGTCATTCAGCCCCTCTGCAGTAAGAGTGTATAATGACTCAGTTGAACTGGTACTGGCATTATCCTGTTACAAAATAACATCAATGCAATATTCAGTTTGTGTTCAGTACTTGTGCAATACCAGATGAACATTAGTATGGCCCTTTTGCTGCATAGTTCTGGACACACGTGTTTCATTTTTAATTGTTGTTCTTAGTGGTTGAATGACTTAGGCTGCTCATTTAGTTCTAATTCTAAACATTTAGATTTGTGTTCATTCAATAAGATTTAACAATTAATAATTTAATCAAAGCATTTTGATACATTTTTATATTTTTTATATTTTTGATCAAAAATAGTTGTGAAACATATATTTCACCCCATATCTGTTTAGTTTAACAGAAAAAAATCTAACCAGTACTAACAATTTTTTTCTTTTTTCCCCCTCACAATTTCACTAAATTTCAGGTGGTTCTAATGTTAGCCTCCATGCTTAAAATCAGTTTAGGTTTTTCAATAGTTATTGGGGATTGTGGTTGGTTTTATTAAATTAAACTATTGATTGAAACATTGTTGTGATTTCTCTGGTGTAGTGTTCACACTTTATAGTGTGACGACTGCAAATTAATCATGGCCAATAAGGTGTGACCATTCCATATATATTACTGCTATTTCAGCTGTTAACTTACAATGGTGGTGAGGTACAAAGGTACAAGCCAGGATCCTCTGGAGGTTTCTTCCTGTTAAAAGGGAGTTTTCTTCTCCACTGTCGCTAAATGCTTGCTTAGTGTGAGGATTGCTGTAAAGACTAACACTTGTCAGTGACTCGATGAAACTTGATGCGTTCCTTATATAGGAAACTTTTTAATGATTGGCTTAATGAACTGACCTGTATTGGAATGTTTACTATGTGAAGTGCCTTGAGACGACTCTTGTTGTAATTTGGCGCTATATATATATAAACTTGAATTGAATTGAATATAAATATGAAATAAACCTGATTGATCTTTGAAGTTTAATCAGAAGATTATAGTTACTTCTACAAATAAAAAAAATACATTAGTACTATATGTACCCTGTATGTTCTATGTGTATGTAGATT